GTACCGATCCGAGTGCTCCATTCATGTTTTCTGCGACCTTTAAAATTGAAGATGATCAAGGAACTGCTGATGATGATACATCAGCAAATGGTTTCAAGTCACGATGCTGGAATGGTAAGCCAGGCAACTTCAGCAACGTGTCTGTCGAAGGGAAAAGTAGTGGACCGTGGGGTATTTGGAAGAGTGAAGCTGTGTGCCCTGAGGGGTCAGCGATTTGTGGTATTAGTTCCAAATTTCAAGAATCTCAAGGTTCAGGTGACGATACAGCCATGAACGGCGCATTCTTTAAGTGTTGTTCATTAAATTCAGCGAGAAGTGATGAAACTTCCGAACTTCGACCATCAGTTGGTCCATTTGGCGATTTCCATAGATATGTATATTGTTCTGAAGGTACATGGGCTTATGGTTTTCAACAACGGGTTGAATCAGCCCAAGGCTCCAGCGATGATACAGCATTAAATGCGATTCGTTTGTATTGTAGAAAAAAGGATGGTACAGGCGTTGAAAGCATAAGTTCGTATGATGGAGTATGGGGTAATTGGACTGGTGTGGCCAACTGTTCCGCTCCAAGTGCTCCGTTTATGTTTTCAGGCAGTTTCAAAATTGAAGATGATCAAGGAATATCTGGCGATGATACATCAGCAAATGGTTTCAGGTCTCGATGCTGGAATGGCAAGCCAGGCAACTTCAGTAACGTGTATGTCGAAGGCAAAGGTAGTGGAACGTGGGGTTTTTGGAAGACTGAAGCTGCTTGCTCAGAAGGATCAGCTATATGTGGTATCAGTTCGAAGTTTCAAGATTCGCAAGGGTCCGGTGATGATACAGCAATGAATGGCGCATTCTTTAAATGCTGTTCATTATAATTATAGGACTTGTGCTGCGATATGTAGTTCTATTTGATCAAAAGTAACTTTTAAAAATTTCTTTTCTCCTGATTCATTAAATAACTCATTGAAACTAGCTTAGCTGGTGTTCTCCTAATGTCTTCCATACTGACCTCCTTATCGAAACGGTTTTTGATTTAAGCACAACTCTTGTTATTTTATAGTATGCAATACATTTTATTTATCCAACATAATCTGCTTCATTTTTTTCTTTTAATCGCTGCAAGGGACGGGTGTTAGTGTGTGACTGGGTTTTTATTGTGTCTACGATAAGCTACCAGTAGTTTCCACGTTTAACACGGCTCTCAGCAGGTGGTTTTTTAGCACTGCTTAATTTCTGAAATTGTATTGAAAAGATTTACATCCGGACATGTTGAATTAAGAAAAGCAAAGCAAAGAGCTTTTTAAATTCATTATGTTGTGCGTATTATGTTTAAAAAAAAACTGTTACTAGCATTGTGCGCTTATTGGTGTAGATGGGCGTGTGTAGTAGAGATATCGCCGTTTCACGACAACGCTGTGTCTGTCTTGGTCTGGCTGCTTCAGGTTGATTACTTAATATTATCTCTAATAGATAGTAACTTCTGAAGTATGGATATAAAGTGTTTGAATTAGTTTTCGATATAATAATTAAATATGGATATTTGCGGAGTTAACATTTTCAAGTAGAATTAACTTAACTATAATGTTAGTTGACTTTAGAAGTCAATGTCTACTTATAGTGAAAACGTGAGGGTGTGGTTGTATATGAAGAATTTAGTAATAATCAAAATCTAGCAAGACGTATTTGGATTACTGCTACAATAATCAGTTATTAATTGCTTATGATTAAAGGATGTAACAAGTACATAATTCTCCTACTATGATATATTAGAGTTAAAAGTTGCAAAGAACTCTGATATCTTATAGTACACATAATATTCAATTATTTGAAAGTTATAAGAAAAACGTGCCGATAAAACTGAATAAGAGATTCTCCTTCTTATGTATCTTTATTTCGTTACAATATCAGTGGATATTTAGTTGGCAAGATTTGAGTTTTACTTTTTGTAGTCTATTGATGCTTCAGATTACGTGTTCTTGATTAGTATAATTAGAATTTGTGGATGGGTGAATATTCTTGATGAATGAGCGTCAATGTTAGCACACGTTGATGTGTTTGCTTTGTCTGTAGGATTGGCGTTATGGTTAGCGTGTGTTTTGTTCGTCGAGAAGTCGTCTGAGCGTCATATTAGTGTTGCTGATGGCTGTTTGTATATTTTGAAGCATGAAGATCATCTGAAATATATATTATAGTGTTGTTTTTTTTTGCAAGGAAGATCGAAGTGTTTATATGAAGGTGGTTTTTGTTTAGAGATAATACGACATTGTGGGTCAATGAGACTGTAAATTTGGGAATATGGTTCATTCAATTGCTGATATGCTAGTTCGAGCTGTTCCTAGAGCTGTTGTTGAACTACTTATCGTGCAATTTAGCTATATGTTCAAGGGCAATGAGTCCTTCGAGTTCGTTTTAATTGTTCGTGTTCTCATAGATCCTTAGAATCCATCTT